GTGATGTGGGTACTGGAGAATCAAACTCAGCCTGTGTGGCTTAGCACCATGCACCTTTACTCCCTAAGCTGTCTCTTTGGCTCCCTGAGGTCTTTATCAACACATTGATACATACATGTGCATATATAAAATAACAAGTGCATATACTCAATAAGCATACAGGTCATATTTGGTGAATGTCTTCCTTTTTATTGTTCCCTCTTTCCAACTCAGATGCATTTCCTGCTTACTAAGGCTCTAAATCCGTGGTTCTCAGCCTTCCTAATGCTGTGACCGTTAGTACAGTTTCTCATGTTGTGGCGACCTCCTCCCCCAACCATAAAATTATTTTTGTTGCTACTTCATAACTGTAACTTTGCTAATATTATGAATCATAATGGAAATACTTGTGTTTTGCAATGGTCTTCAGAGACCCTTTTGAAATGATCATTCAACCCCCAAAGGGGTCATGAGCTACAGGTTGAGAAATGCTGCTCTAAACCTTCATGATAGAACTCTTCAGAGGCTACCCCCAATCTGGAGATGAATACAGTAGACTTAGGAAACAGACATGCATTGTGAAGACTTTTTCAGTAACCATTATACATGTATCAGATGTGCAGATGTAAGCACTTGAGTTTTTAGAATCTTCATGCCTTCGTCTGTGAAATGGGTTGATAATACCTCCTACTCTGTGGGGCATCTTGCATTGATTAAATGAGATTATGCATGGAAAGGATTTGGCCTACCGCCGGGGAATGATGTGTGCTTAATGCATGATTATAACACTAAGAGTTGATGTGTATTGCCCATTCAGTCTACGTCAGGCACTGAGAAGTGCCTTCTCTATTAACTCGTTCCTGGCAATTGGTTATCACATTCATTCAAGGTTATTGCTTCCACTATCATTACTATTACATTTTAAAGACCCAGGAAGGAAGGTGACGGTAAGCTCTCTCCTCTCAAGTATCTATTATTCTGTTGTTAATGTCAGTAAGATTCCCACAAGTCAGTGCAAGTGACTAGTGCCAGCTCAAGAAGGAAAGGTGGAGCAGGGCTCAGAGAGGAGCAAAGGGAGGGAAGGAGGAGTCAGCCTGCTGCCCTCAAGTGTTATGGCTGTTCCGAGCTGCATGATGGCTGGGTGTCTAAGCTCCTTCCTCGAGCAAGAGGAAGCAGAGAAAGCTACCTCTCACCAGGGTGTGGGTGGTAAGTGGACCAAGAGATGAGTGACAGGCAGAGGGCATAAACCTGTCAAGGCAGTGCTGTTTAGTGTCTCTGAGTGTTTGCTTACAGCTCTCCAGCAGTGCGAGTGAGAGAGAGGGAAGAGTGAGTTTTTACTGTGAGAAAAAAAAAAACAAAAAACTAACCAACCAACCAACCAACCACACAAACATATCAAGTAAAACTGACCTAGCCGGTTAAGATGCTTGATTTGAGCAGAACAGTGGAGACAGTTGGCAGAGCAAGCTGCTCACCTCTGTTGGTCAGGAAGCAAAAAAGAAGCGACTGGACTACCAAGGTGCACTGAAAAGCAAACCTCCAATAACATAACTTCCTCCTTTCTCCAACCAGTTCCACTAATTCACAATATACCAGAGACTATGGCCCAAGCCCATAACACATGGCTGGGGTTGGGGAATGGGAAATATACCACATTTATCCAAACAACAATGATGTTGCAAAGGTGCTCCAAAATTATTTTTCATTATGATTTTAAAACTAGAAACAAGTTACAATCATTCACTTCAAAAGAAAGTGGAGCAAGTGAATTTTTGGAAATTATATAATTCACCATGGAAAAGAAAAGCTGCTACATGTTATCAAGGCCTCTAGCCATTAGGCAACCAAATGGTTCTTAATGCAAAGCTATCTCAGGTGTGGCATTTTTCTGTACTAAAAATGGTGATGGACCATTTAGAGAGAACAGTGTGAATCAAATCACCAGTTCAGTGTACTAAACTTGAAATGTCCTTCCTACATGCCTCACTCCCAATTTAATTTGATAACATATTAATTTGTAGTTCGTTACGTAGGCAGGTTGGTGCTTTCTCTGAGCATGTTTGAATGGGTTTCTGAAATACAATGTGAAGCTTGCAGGAGGAATCGGGTTATATTTCTTAGAAAGAGCCTCTTCCTCTGCCCAAGCATCCCATAATTGTCCTCTTTGGTCCCTTTCCACCCTGTGAGTGGCACCGCAGGAGTGTGTGGGGGGGGGTGGGGGTGGGGGGGTATACTCTGTGTGCTCCTGTGGAACACGGTAGTGAACACTGGGCATCATTCCTCAGGTAGAAGTCCATCTTGTTTTTCGAGACAGGCTCTCTCATCTTTATTTGGTACATTACTGATTCCGATTTGACTGGGCTGGCTGGACAACCAGCGCCACGCATGGCCCTATCTCTGCCTCTGCAACACCTGGATTCCAAACATGTGCCACCATGTCCAACTCTCTGTGTGGCTGCTGGGAATCAAACTCAGGTCCTTATGCTCACATGGCTAGCTAGCCCTTTACCCACTGATCCTCTTTCCCAACCTTACTGCCGGATCTTACGGAGGCACTTTCTCAGTTGAGGTTCCTTCCTTTCAGGTAACTCTTGCGTCAAGTTTACATAAGCCCACCCAGTACAGGTGTCTTCTTATACAATGAACTGTAGCCTAACTTGAGGTGTTAGCAAGATGGTAACGTAGCCTGGTAATGAATTAGCCAATAACAGGCAGCCAGTTGCTCAAACCACCTTCAAACAACACAGGCAGGAGCTGAGACCAATTGGCCTGTCTCTGTAAGTTTTGCTTCACCTCTGGCTTTAAATATAATCTGCCTGACTTTTGGTCCACACTGCTGTCTGGTTCTAGAATTGCACTCTGTAAAGCTAGATTTTTTTAAATATATATAATTTTGTCTGTAGTGGCTCAAAAAAAAAAAAAAAAGGAAATTATTTTCTATTTTAAGGAAAGTAAATTTTCAATTTTTCCTCTAATTTATGACACACGTATGAAATGTACAAATGCCCAGAATGTTAGTCTCCTCTCAACCATGTTTAGTTCTAGGTGGGAGATTTGTATGACTGATTTAAGTGAAGACAGATGCTATTCGAGACTCAGGAAAAGACTGAAGCAAGCATCATTTGATTGGGCTCCTCTCTGGCTGGATAGACAAAGTTCTCCTTGCCATCTAAATTAGAAATGAAATGCCTGCCGCCTCTGACCATCAGGATCTACAAAGGAAATACACAGAGTGGGCCAAAGAACAGTCATAGTCTATGACTACAACAGGAAAACATTAATCTCACACTCTCCTAAACAGCTGCACTGAGGACTCACCCTCTGCTGGGCATTGAACCTGTACAATAATGGGTGGCCTGGTGGTTACCTGCTTAGGTTATACTTACAGCCAAAGTATGAACCGGAAGTGCAGAAGGTTCAACTCCTGTCTCTCTTGTGTGAAGGTACTCTGAACAGCCGATGCACGATGCACACGGTTGGTTCAGACTCGGCTACTTATTACAAGGGTAGGTTGTCCTGTTGTTTGCACAACAAGATAAGTTACAGTCCACTACGGCCTTGGTTTTCTCATCTTACTAACGATGAAGAGAGAGCTATGGGAATGTAACAACTTTCTCAAGTCTTCAAAACCAGTAAGAGGAAGGAAGTGAGATCCAAAGCCAGGACCATGCAGTGTAAAGCTGACATCCTCCTCCTTACAAATGGTCAGCCCAACTGAGAGGAGCACTTTCTGGAAGTACCAGGAAGAGACAGGAATGGGCATCCTAGGAAAGTCTTTCCCTGGAGTACATCCTCTGACAAATGTGAAGGTAACATCCCCAGCATGCAGCAAGCACAGGTGAGCCTGGCATTTCCGGGTGATTAAATAAGTGGAGGGAGGGCAATAAAATAGGAGCAGTGGGCAGGACTTACAAGGAAGCTCTCAGGAAGAATAGGCAGCTGGGTTTTCATAAGAGAGCAGAAAAGAGGGTCCCAGGCCCCAGCCATCTCAGTGCTCACTGCTGAGCCCTCCCACAATATCCAACATCAGCTCTCCGGCCTCTGAGTCTTGGCCTAAAATACAGCCAGGGATGGTCAGAGTGTTCGACCTTAGCATAAGCCTGTGTGGTTCAAGATACTCAGGATTCCTGAGGACCTGGGCAAGGGTACATCTTTGTTTTGACTATGGGTGACATCAATAGTTGCTGGAAGTGATGGACACATGTGTCTTGACTGTGGTGATACATGCAAATTCATCCTACTGCACACATTCAATATGTGCAGAGGTCTGCACATCAGTGATAGCGTAACTAAGCAGCTTAAAGTAAGCAAACTGATAAATAAATATGTAACTTTAATACTGTTTTAAAAAGGGAGAGGCCATGACAGCATGTGTTTTGCAGTTCCAGCTACCAAAGAGGCTGAGGTAGAGCCACACTTGAGCCCATGAGCTGGAGGCCATGCTGGGATACACAGTAACGCAATTACACCCCTGTTTTTGTTTTTCTTTGTGTGTGTGTGTGTGTGTGTGTGTGTATGTGTTGTGCATGTGTGTGTATGTGTCCATGATGAATACAGAAATTAGAGGTTGACATCCCTAGGGGTTCCAGGCATATGCTGCCCAAAACAGCTTTTTTATTTTCCTTTCCTTTCCTTTCCTTTCCTTTCCTTTCCTTTCCTTTCCTTTCCTTTCCTTTCCTTTCCTTTCCTCTCTCTCTCTCTCTCTCTCTCTCTCTCTCTCTCTCTCTCTCTCTCCTTTTTCATGGGTGCTGGAGATCCAATCCAGGTCCTCAGATTTGGACAGCAAGCACTTACCAATCAAGCCATCCCCTAGCCCCAACACTCCTGTCTTTAAGAGAATGATGTTTTGAAGCTCTATGGAGGAGTGTGTGCACAGGATGGTGTGATTCATGCCCCAGCACAACAATAGAGACAAGAAGGAGACAAGGAGGGGAGTGGGAGGGGAGGGAGATGGAAGAAGAAAGGGGAGGAAGGGGTGGGAAGCTTCCTCATGCTTAAGCATTCCTGAGCTTCAAGTTCACCTTGGCAGAGGACAATTGCAGAGAGGGAGGTTCTGCAGAGACAATGCCTGTGGAGTGGAGTGGGGACCTGGATGGGGATTTTCTGTAGACTCCAAGCAGCACATCCTCTTTTCCTGTCTGTGAACCTGGCTTGGGAAAAAAGAGCAAAACTATAGTGTGAGCTACTGTAAGCAACCCTCTAGCTCCTGCCTTGGAGTAGACTTCTTGGTGCTTTATGGGTCCTTCTCCAGGGGATGAGGACTCCTCCTCTCCCAAAGCAATGCCACAGGAAAGGATGCTGCCTCCAGGGAATTCACTCTGTAGGTTTCACTGCATCCTGCACTGAGAATGAGACCAGGGAAAGGGCCTGTGCTCTTGTGCCCTCCCCCCACCGTAGGCTCCACATGAATTCAACGTGATTTATTTATCCTGCTCAATTTCTCCAAACGTCATTAGCTCTATTTGTGCCTCTCCTTATTGGACCATGCTGTGATATTTAGTATACACTTAAAGTGGAATCCAAGCAAAGCAGCCGCTTATTGCCAGCATTTAATACAAGTATCTAATTAAGTCCAGGTTATTGTGTTAATTATCATCCAGATCTATAAAGTTTATTAGGCCATCTGATTTTCATATCATCCTACTGCAATTAGTGGTTATGTATTCATTCAAGTGTTCATATATTTTTTTTAAATAAAGTCTGGCTATGTCAAGTGAATTGTTTCAGTTCACCTCACCATTAGGTTTAATCACAAAATGTTTATTAGAGTAAAACATACAGTTTTAGCTTGAACTCCTACCTTTAGCACACCCTCCATCAACTGTCAGGGGTAGATCGTTCACAGTGAGAAGAATACTGTTACATCCTGCCTCAGCCATGAATTCCATTTGCCAAGATTGGTTTTAAAAGTATAACATTTTGAGAGAGCGGGTGGGTTGGAGGAAAAAGGGGGGGGTTAAATGATGTAATTATATTTTAATTTCAAGAAAATGTATAATATTTTCAGAATTTTCTAGTCCCCTCACCATTTCACATATACTATTCAAAATACCTGCTTCAATAAGGACTTCAAGCTTTCCCTTGACTACACAGAGAAGGTGCCCCCAGAACCGATGATGCTCACAGAGAAAATGAAGTTACCATGGGACTGCTCTCAGACCCTTGCCAGTGAAGACACAGATGCCCACATTCCCCTCCCAGCCTCCCCTGGCATCGAAAGGCCACTTCTCTCCTCCAGAGCTAACGCCTTCCTCAGAGACTGTTCAATCTCTGCAGCTGCCAAGCTGTCCCAGTCTCTGGGTCCCTGAGCCATTCTCCAAGCCTCTCCTCCACCTGCCTTCAGTGCACAAACATCCTTAGCTTCTCAAACCACATCCCATCTGAACCAGATCCCCACCAACCCTCCAATGGGCTCTGTGATCCCACAAACACTGTGGCTTCGCACTGTCTCTTCACATTTCTGTCTACTTCTTGGCATCATTCACTGTGGGATCCTCTTCTTCTGTTGGCCCTTTGGGACTTCTGAAGGTGCTAGTTCTGGCCCTGTTCCCCAACCCTGCTCACCCTCTGGGCTATGGCCGCACCCTGCCACTCTCAAAGCTGTGTCTCCAGCCACCTTCTCATAGGTGTCTCTCATACATTCATCTCATACATTGATCTGGGTGGTCTGATCACCTCCCCAGATGCCCTTCTCAATGTCTTTCCATGTGCCTTCCCACGATAAGACCACCTCTTTCCAGAGCCCACAAAGTCCTCTGGAATCCATCCACACCTTATTCTCTGGCCTCCGTCCCTTTCCAGGCTTCCAGAACTTTCCATTCAGTCATGCTGAACCACCTTCAGTATTTTCAGTGGTCTCTAGTCTCTAAAAACTCTGAACTAACTCCACCCTGCTTCTTCTGCCTTGACACTGTTTCGCTGCGGCTCTTGCCTGCCACCTTCCTTCCCTGGAATTACCTGTAAGAGCCTTTGGGGAGAATAGTCTACTTGCTGACTTATGACCTACCAGGGTCCTACCAAAATATTCAGCATACTTTTCACATATTCTTTACTGCTTAATTCCACCTCCCAGCTCAGCGTTCGATACATACTAGATAGGCAAAATGATTTGTGTGTAAGAATATATCTAGCTGATAGTCTCTTATTCAGACTTCAGTGCTTGAACCTACGTGGGAGTGGACCCATTTGCTCACTATCTCTTGTTTCCAAACTGACCTGCTCCTTCACAGCAGTTAGGCAAGATTATAAGATCCTGGGGGAAAGAAGCTGCAGCTCACAAAGACAGCTACGCTATCACACTGCTACAAGACACAGGGTGAACATTTAACAATGACAACAGAAAACATGTACCCTCTGATTCAGACAACTCCTACATATTATGTTTCCCTTCAGATTTTCCAGGAAGCCATGTACACGCTCTGCAGCCTATAGAAGAGCTGATAGGTGATCATGAAAACAATTTTTCTGCAACATCCAAAAACATGTTTACTATATTTCTAAACATGGCACCATTAATTCTTTTATTTATTTATTTATTTACTTATTTATTTACTTACTTATTTTTATATTAATCACAGGTTATTTATTTTGTAGCCCAGCCGCAGCCCCCGGCATCATTAATTCTTAGCTTTAGCACTTGCCTAATGTGTGTGAGGTGCTGTGTTCCAACCCTAGAGCCACAGGGAAAGAAACAGCAAGAAAAGTCAATTTGTATTGGAAAATCAAAAAATATGGAGGCATTTAACCCCCTAGAATTGAGACCGGTCTTTCTTCAAACCTCCTCCTGGATCTTCCCGAAGCTCTTGGAGTTTGTCAGTTTCTAAATCTTGCACTACTGGTTCTTAATCCTGATGTTTAGAATGTTACTTGCCTGGTGCTGTCCCTGTTTCCTGCCTCCACCCCGAGCTCCATCTCAGATAAACAGAATGTTCCCTGTTAAGCAAAGACATTCTTTACTCAACCATGACAATGGAGAAAGCCGCTCTGGTGTCCTACAGCCCCACTGGTGCAATTTTGTCCCCAAGAAAGAAATGTGCGCACACACGCATGTTGGATTTTATTGGGGATTTGTTGTTCTGCGCGTTTGGCTGTTGTCATTGAGCCAAGCATGGAGCAGGGGAGCTTTAACAGCGCTTGAAAGGCGCACAGCAGAGAGATGATTTAGGAGTCCGGTTTTCTAAAGACAAGAGAGGGAGTAGATGACCTTTCCGGATCCCTCCAGTCTGAAGGTTTTGTGATTCCATTCACGTCCTCTGTCTAGACATGCAATGTGGACGCGCTTGCTTTCATGGTTATCACCTGAGAAAAGTCTAACTGCGCCACCTACAGTCTGATCTTAGAAACTTCTCTGCTTTAGCCATGGATCATACAAACCCCAGACAAAAAACAAGGGAGAAAAACCCACTGGAAAGAACAAATTTCAGAGACTATTCCCCAAGAATCCACATGTGTTCTTAGCCTAGCCTTCCAAGGAAACTGTATAATAACCCTTTGTAATTATTTATTTATATAGTCAATGTCTCATGGGATATGGAGACAGAAAACTTGTCTCTTCCATGGACAAGCAGAGACAAGGACTCAGAGGTCTGTTAGCCATCAATGGTTACACAGGAACCACACTCAGACCAAGGGCTCTGAATGTGAATATTCACCATCAAGCCATGCCAGCATTTTCTCTCCCCTCACACACAGGTCTTGCATGCACTGTCTATGGCCTAGGCAGCCTGAACCTGTCCGTCCTGTACCTTCTGGCCTTATCTTTGTCCTTATAAATGCGTCCCACTTCAGTAAATTTCCAGCCCTGAGAGGCCTCAGGGCAGGCCAGCCTCCTCCTTTTTCAAGCATGCCAAAGACCTGCCCTAGTGTTTGCTTTAATTCTCTGCTCTGCACGGAGCCTATACTCTCTTGTACTCCCAAGAGTCAGGTTCAATGTTCCATCCTCAGAGGAGGCATCCTTAGTTGCCATAGTGGAAGCAGCACCCCTAAGTCTGTCTTACTCATTTTTTAAGGTCAGGTAAGTGTGTTTAACAGATCCTTATTTACCTGAGAATGGAATGAGTCTACTCTACAGTCCATGGAGTCAAAGCTCCACTCAGTTTGTTGGGGCTCTGGTTCCCACACCAGGCTCTCACTAACATAGATGTCTTCCTGCCTTGACCCCATTTGATAGCTTTAAGACTAAGTGGTTAGGAAAAAAAGACAAGAAAAAGATGGGAAACATTTCTACACCACATGGAGTCTTCAATCCTAGCTCTCACCCCAACGGGAATGAGATAATTTATTTTGGAACTAAATATAAATGACCCTGGTTCAAGAACACAAATTCAGTTTAGCACAATACCGTGTCCCAATGCAATAGCAGTTTTTTGAGGCACATAAAGAGAAAACAAACAAACAAAAAAAAAGAGGCCATCATGGACAGACAGGAATCCACAATCAAACAGGTGAAGGAAATGAATAAAATCTTTCAAGACATGAAAATGAAGTTAGAATCAATAAAGAAAATACAGAGAGAAAATCCTGGAGTTAGAGAACTTAGAGCAGAGATCAAGAACCACAAAGGTAAGCATCACCAACAGAATACAAGAGATGGAGGAGAGACTTTCAGGTCCTGAAGACACAACTGCAGAAATCGGTACATCTCTCAAAGAAAACAGAAAAACAGAAAAGCTTCTGACACAAAACATCCAAGAAATCAAGGACACCATAAAAAGAAAAAAACTAAGAATAATAGGAATAGATGAAAAAGAACATTCCAAGGCCCAAAATATATTTTTGAGAAAATCATAGAAGAAAATTTCCCCAACCTTAAGAAAGAGATGTCCTTAAGCATACAAGAGGCTTACAGAACACCAAATAGACTAGACCAGACTGCAGACAATGTCATCTTTGGGGACCCTAAGAAAATTGGGATGCTGGCCAAGTCCTGGGAGAGTTTGCTTTTTCTTTGCTGTCTAGGATTGGTGGAACCATCCGTGGCTAGGAGAGTGCAGGCCCAGTTCAAACAATCTGCGAGGCTGGGTAAGAACTGCCTTGGAACTGTCCTAGATGCTGTGTGTGTGTGTGTGTGTGTGTGTGTGTGTGTGTGTGTGTGTGTGT